ACACCCCTGGAATCTTTGACACATCAAATAAAGAAGAGAAACTGAGAAAGGAAATAGAAACATGTATAATGCTGTCTGTCCCAGGACCCCATATGTTTCTGCTAGTGATCAGATTGGATGTGCGCTTCACAGAAGAAGAGAAGAGTTCTGTTAAATGGATCAAAGAAAACTTTGGGGATGAAGCCTCAAAGTATACAGCAGTGGTTTTCACAAGGGGAGATCAGTTCAAAGAAAGATCCATTGAAAACTACTTAGAGCAAAGTCCTGATCTGAAGGAGCTCATCGCTGAGTGTAAAGCTGGGTATGTTGTATTTGACAACACATGCCAGAATAATCGCACTCAGGTAGCTGATCTGTTTGAAAAGATAGACCAGACAGTGCAATTAAACGGGAACCATTACACCAGCAGCAAATACAAAGAGGCCCAGAAACAGATGAATCGGAACAAATTGTTGCACGAATGTGGAGACACATTGAACTCTGCAGGTAATTATTTGCTTGTGGCAGGAGCAGTAGCTGCTGCACCTGCAGTTGGTGCTGCTGTAATGGCAGCAGCACCTGCAGTTGGTGCTGCTGTAATGGCAGTAGCACCTGCAGTTGGTGCTGCTGTAATGGCAGAGAAAGCAGCAGCCACATCCGTTCGGCCTCTATTAATGCTTGTAGGAGCAGGGATTGTTAAAGGCATTGGGGGCTGGATCATACCTAAAACAGAGAACAGCTAAGCATTACCAAGCCACGACCTTTATGAAGTCTCTTTATGAAGAAGAGGCTTTTTGTATACAAGTACAAATTCACGCTTGATATTATACCTGCTGTTTTAAACTTTATGAAGATCATCAGGTTTGGTGTACGGTTTATTTCATAATGCTTTTTTTTTTTCATCATGCAATAGTTTGTTTCCATAGATAATCAAAAAAAGAGAATATTTATTGAAAACATATAGTTATGTAGAGGTGAAGCAAAAAGAAAATGATTCAACATCTCTTAATCATATTTTAATCTGCGTTGTCACTACTCTCTCATCTTTGTATTGTATTACAACATTTACAGCACTTTAAAAAAAAGAAATACTACTTAAAATTTGTTTTTCTTCTACAATGGTGCAACTTATTCAAATCATCTGTTGTGTAATGATAGACAAGCTGGACTATGTAGCTGAAGTTATCTGATACTTACGGTTCATTACAGATATTTACTGTAAATTCTTGTCAGGATTGGGTTTTTCGTTTTTAAATTTAATGTATGATCTGATTTACAGTTTTATATTTAATTTTACTGTAAAAGGGCATTTGAAAGTACATTTTCCACTAAAATCAATGCCATTTCTTGTGCCTTCTTTCATTGTTTTAAATAAAGTCATCCACTCTGTACCAGAATGTCATTAGTTCTTTTTTGCTCATGCCCCACCACCAAGATTGTGCAAAAACCTCCATGTTGAAATTCATCAGTCTTGCTGATATACAACACTAATCATACACTGGCTGACAGCTAAATTACCATGTTATGATATCACATTCAAACTGCATTAAAATAATTAGATTTTACACTTGGTCTGGTTTAGGCTATATGAAAGGTCATAAGGTTTTCTTGGCATAAATGGATGGAAATAAACACAAAATGCATAATAAATAAACAAACCGCACTTATGACAAATGAAACTGAAACAAGAAATGATTCCAGGTACAAGTTTTCTTGTAAGATTCATTAGCAAATAATACATAACACTCATTCCATTGCAGGTAGTCAAACAGATGAAAATAGACCAATCTAACCTGTAATACAGGTTGTAGGTGTAGTTGGCATTTAAAATATAACCTGTACATTTGAAGCACCATAACTCAGTTTACAACCTTTTCACATCTGAACACACCCTTTATTTGATACTGCGCCTCCTTTCATTTGTAATTTTAAATAAATAATGTTCAGCTTCAGTGTGTTTTGTTCTTAATTGCAGAAAAAGTAGCAGTGTCCTTACTTTGATCCTTTTGTGGTTGACAGAAACTAACTACCATTCATTTTAACATCTGTGCTGGTCATGTTTGTACTGATGGTATGCACTGACATTGTTGTAGTGGCAGGACAATGAGGACTTGCTCTGTTTCCGCAGACGTGATGGGTCAATGGACGTCTACCATTGTTTCTCATTTCCTTTGGGGAAATGAGCTCAGAATGCTACTAATAAAAAGTAAAGGAAGCAGTGTGTCAGTGTCTGCGCATTTTAACAGTTATAAGTTACCAAGGTATAATCTATAGGTGAAAAAACTTTTTACATTTGGGTTTTAATATTAATTATTTTGAATCCTACTAAAGAGCCAAAAGAAGTGATACTCACATTCATATATAAGATGTAAACGATAAAAAAGACAAACAAGCACATTTCATACCATTTGTTTACTATTAGCTTTAAATTCACATACTCGTTTTGAAACAGAACCTAAACAAGTCACTAACGCATAGTTCCAAACCATAATGTGTGAGATACTAATACTGTATATGGAATATTTCTGTTTTTTATTCAGTGACACAAACTGTAGCCAAACAATAGCCTTGCCACTACCCTCCATCTTGTTATACAGGCACGTTTGCTTTAGCCTTGCATTTTATGCCTTTCCAAATGAAAATGGCAGATAAACCGCATAAGATTCCCAGGACAAGTGCAGGGGCGCCTAGAGCCAGGGCCACTGTGGTGTTAGCTCCCACTGCAATGACCACCCCAGCAAACACCAAGACAACAGCAGAAGCTGCGGCCACGCGTATATTCTTTCTTTGAACCTTTTTCTTCCTGATTTTCTTTTCCTCCTGCTTCTGTCTCTCTGCATCCCATATTTTCCTTTCCTCCTCTTTCTTCTGTTCCTCCTCTTGCTTCCTCCGCTCCTCCTCCTCTCTCAGCTTCCTCTGGGCTTTCTCATACATTTCATTCGTGTAGTGCTTACCACCGTTATCCTGTACCATTTCCTTGATCATATTGATCAGCTCTTTTACCTGCACACGGTCATCCACGTCAGTGTTGTTGAAAGCATGATATCTGCGTCCAAATGTGATCGAGAGTCTCCGCAGCTCCTTGCACTCCTTCAGAGCATTGTCAGCTTTAGCTTGATCTTTACACGTAAACAGCATGATTGTGTACATGGAAGCATCGTCTCCAAAGTTATCTTGGATCCACTTAACAGCATTTCTTTCCTCTTCCGTGAACCTTACTCCAAGCCGGATTACCAGTAGGAAAGCATGAGGGCCAGGAACTGACATTTTGACACACTCCTCTATTCTGACTTTTAATTCTTCCTCTGAGATGCCTGTATCAAACAGACCCGGAGTGTCAATAACCTGCACCAAGGTCCCATCCACTTCCCCACTATGAATCTCACAGTGTTTGGTCACAGACACAGAGCTGGGATCCTCTTTGAAGGCAATTCTTCCAAGGATAGTGTTTCCGGTTGCACTCTTCCCTGATCCAGTCTTTCCCACTAAGACTATCCTCAAACCTCCAGACAAATCCAGACCTGTGGTAGAAACAACAGACACAGAATTACTGGCATTTACAAAAAATGGGATCCTTTCTTTTCTGCCTTTTTAGTCTAAAGTAAATGTTTTTGTCTGTCCCTCCATCTTTCCAATGTTAAAAAATAATAATAATTGAAATATTTTCTTTTGCAAACATTTGAAGAAAACAAACTTTTTACATTTTTATTTTTTATAAATCATAGATGCAATTTCAGTTTTTCTGTGGGAAGCAATTCAAATGAATGGGTGCTATTTTAAAATCGCATTTTGAATATTTTTATAATCAGTGAAACACCCCAGAAAACACATAGTATGTTTACACCCAAGAAGCTTAGAGACCATGTACTAATTTACTAATTAACTACCGTGGACTTTCTAGAGAGAAGAATAAGTACAAATGAACACACACAAGTGGCTCTTTCACAACTGGAAAAACTCATATAAATTAAAAATACTAACAAAGTTTATCTTATCAGTTTTTAATTTTAGTAAAAAGTGGGTTGAAGGCATATGTTTGATTAATGAGATTTGGCTAGAGAGAAAATGAAGGCACTTACCATCAAAGTTATTCAGACCACACCCATCAGACCGAGGTAGAGTTTTCTGCTTCTTTTCTCTAAGTTGTATTTCTGTGAAATAAAAATTAAATCATTGAGACAAAAAAGATAAGAGAGTACTAATCACTGACAGCTTTATGAAGTTTGGCATCTTTCTAAGTCTGTCACTTGTGCTCTTTTCTCTGTAACAGTATCACATCTTACAGTAATTAAAGTAATAATGTTTTTTTTTTTTTTTTTATTAATTCGGACAGATGGTCTTACCTTCAGCCATTAGTTCAGATCTACCTTTTATATGTCCCAAGTGACCAAACAACGTCAATGTCCAGACCTAGGTTGTAGACTTAGACAAGCTCCGTGTCTCAGCACATTTCAGATTTGTTTTCTGGGAAACTTCTGGAAGCCTAGGCACTGGGGGGGCTTCCCATTTCCTTGTATTGTTTTCAGTTTGAAATTTGAAAACTGTCTATCCACAGTTCTCCAAATATGGTGAACAGGTTTGTGTGTGGACATAATTATAACTTTTAAAACATGTCATAGCAAATCTACAAAAATATTTAGGTTGCTCAATTGATCACATTAGACTGTTTCACAATAACTCCATAATGATGTCTCTCTCTTCTTAGAGTGGAGCAAGGGGAGTTAAAATTACATGTAGTGTGTCACATTCTTGCATTGTTGATGTTTCCTCACTTTAAAAACAGGAAGTTTTAAATAACAAAAAAAGAAAAACTAAAAAAAAAATCTTAAAATGTATTTGTTTGTTTATTTCTGCAATGCAACAGGAACTCATTTGTTTTAAATTGTGACACTAAAAAAAACTACAGTACTAACTGTCAGTATTGGTGGATAAACATAGCAATAAGAATGGACATGACAGTCACAAATTTTTATGTCCATGAAAACTTGGACATGAAGGTTTCATGTCCAACCTTGGACAGTTTTTAGTTGGAGATAAAAAACAAACAAACTGCTTAATCTCCAACCCCGAATTAAAAAAGAGGTCTATCCGGGGAGGGATGGACTAGTCATCAAAGAACACATTATTGAACATGCTTACATCACTCACTCTTACAATTCAGTTCATTCAGTTCAATTTTATTTGTACAGCACCAAATCACAGTCGCCTCAAGGCACTTATATTTTAAGGTAGACCCTACAATAATACATACAGAGGAAAACCCAACAATCATATGACCCCCTATGAGTAAGCACTTTGGTGACAGTGGAAAGGAAAAACTCCCTTTAAACAGGAAGAAACCTCCCACCTCTTTCTTTTCTTTTTTTGTAGCTCTTTCACCTAAGCAAACACGTCCTTCATGGAGTTTAATCCAAGTGATACACCAATTGTTTTGAGAATAAATAATTTTTTATATATTCCCACACCAAAAATTCCCAGGGCAATGAGACTCCAAAATATAAACCTAGTCCATCTATCCTCTTTATCCTTTTTTGCCAGTTTCTTCTGGGCTTTCTGGTACATCTCATTGGTGTAGTGATTTCCACCATTGAAGTCCACCAATTTTTCTATTATATCTAGGAGTTCTCTGACTTGGGTCCTGTTCTGTCTCTGCTTATTGATGAGTGAATGGTATCTTCCCCCACATTGGTTTATCAGCATTCGTACAGGTTTGCTTTCTCTCAAATAGTCTTTCAAAGATTTTCCCTCCAGCAAATCAGCATGTGTAAACAGAACTATCGTATACATAGAAGCTTCTTCGCCAAAGTTGTCCTGGATCCACTTCACAGTGTTCTGCTCTTCTTTTGTGAACCTTGACTTCAGACTGATCACTAAAAGAAAAGTATGGGGTCCAGGAACTGACTGCTCAATGCACTCCTCAATTTTTACTTTCACTTCATCTTGTGATTTGGTTGTGTCAAACAGCCCTGGAGTGTCAATTATAACAATGTTCCTGTTACCCTCTATTACCTCTTTTCTGTGACAGCCATTGGTAACAGACTCAAGTGACATGTTTGCTTTAAAAGCACTTGGATCCCCCAGGATGGTGTTTCCAGATGCGCTCTTCCCTGATCCAGTTTTTCCAACCAGAAGGAGTCTCACCTCTCCCAAATATCTAGAACCTGTGAAAATTAATATTTGATTTGAAGTAGTATGCATAATACTATGCCATCATAAAATAACATGACACTGTTCATGTTGGTTCATAAGTCTTGAGTCATGCTTATGGCACTTGTCAACCAAGTGTTATTAATTTATTCATTATGTCAGATTTATTACTTAGGTGATGGTCTTTGAAATGCTTCCATTGTTATTATTTTGAAGATGGTCAGTATTTGATGGTTGATAGTAGGGGTGTTTGTATCAGGTGCCCAATGTAGGATATTTCTGTACAGATTCATTTTAAATGATCAAAAATATGCTTTACCGGATTTTCTCTTTCATAAATTTTTTTTTTTTTTTTTAAAGTTTGAAGTAATTTAACTGAAAACACTAATGCTGTTAAACAGTATTCAGAAAAGTAGGACATCTAGAGCTCTGACTCACAAAAGTACAAACTGTTTTGACGAGCTATGAGATTCAAGTGAAAAGTACATCAACACAGTAACAAATATCTTTAGTTGTTATGTTACTGCTTAGTTAATTTCATGTTTTAAATGTTAGTAAAAATGCGCCGAAGAGCCGAACAAGAGAAGGAAGCTGCCATAGCAGAAGCCAATTCTTTAGAAGCTGGTCTACTTGAATTAGGTTTCGAAACACGCAGTGTAGCTTATGGGCCATCCCTATCTGAGAACAAAGAAAAACGCACTGCGCAGTATGTTTTGGAACAAACAGCTATCAATGCAGCAGAATCAACAGCCCCAGTAAAAACTGAATACAAAGACCCTGCACCCGCCTTTCAAGAAATTGCTGTAAAAGAAGGAAACAAAACAAACTGTGCTGCTACTCATAACGAACTGTACAAGCCCCTATCCACCAGCTACAAAGAGTTTACACCTCTTGTTCAGACACCATATAAATCCAGTTGTGCTTAAGGCAATGAACATGCCCCGAGCCAACCGACTTACGACCTTGCCAAATATCTAACCCGCAGCCAGCTCATTACTACAGGCCTTACCAGCTTTGATGACCAACCCATGAGTTACTGGGCATGGAAATCATCTTTCAAAATCGCAATTGCAGGGTTAGACCTTTCACCAGGAGAAGAGCTGGATTTGCTGGTGCGCTACCTTGGTAAAGATTCAGTTAAACAAGCCAAACAAATGAGAGCTGTCAATATCAGATGCCCTGAAGTTGGTTTAGCTATGGCTTGGGACAGACTTGAAGAAGTATATGGCTCCCCAGAAGCTGTAGAGCAAGCTCTCTTTCAAAAGGTCGACAGCTTCCCTAAAATCACACTTAAAGAGCCTTATAAACTCCGTGATCTTGCCGACCTAATGTTAGAGCTAGAGACAGCTAAGTTGGATGGTTACTTACCTGGCTTGTCCTACTTAGACACATCAACAGGGATCCAAGCGATAGTCGAAAAATTGCCGTACAATCTACAAGAAAGGTGGATGAATATTGGTTCAAGGTACAAACACGATTATGGCGTCAGCTTTCCCCCCTTTACTGTGTTTGTCAACTTCATTCGCACTGAAGCCAGAACACGAACTGACCCTAGCTTCAGCGTTCACAGCCCTAACCAACCCATAACACCAGAACGAAAGCACATGCACGAAAGGTTCCCCAAAGGGCCCATATCTGTTCACAAAACTCAAGTACAGGACAAGGCAGATGCAGAAAAATCCAAATATGCTGTGAATCCAAATAAACAGTGCCCAATTCACAGCAAGCCTCATCCTCTGAAAAGGTGCAGAGGGTTCAGAGAGAAACCCTTGGAAGAGCGCAAACAGATCCTCAAAAAATTAAACGTCTGCTTCCGCTGCTGCTCATCTACTGACCATTTAGCCAAGAACTGTGAATCAGGAATCACGTGCACTGAGTGTGACAGCAAAAATCACATTTCTGCCCTCCACCCAGGTCCAGCACCACGGGAGTCTAAATCGCCCCCTTCCCCACAACAAGGCGGGGAGAGTGACAAAGCAGACACCCAAGAAGTCACGTCTCGGTGTACTGAGGTGTGTGGGGAAGGAGTGAGCGCCAGAGAATGTTCAAAAATCACACTAGTGAATGTATACCCTGCTGGACACAGAGAGCAAACAAAGAAAATGTATGCAATCTTGGACGATCAGAGCAATCGATCGCTGGCACGTTCCCAGTTCTTTGATGTTTTTCAGATCCAAGGAGAGAGTCGCCCGTACATGTTAAAGACGTGTGCCGGACTCACAGGAGTATCAGGAAGAAGTGCTTCTGGCTTTATAGTAGAGTCAGTGAATGGAAAGGCAAGTCTTCCTCTGCCAACACTCCTCGAATGTAACGACATTCCAGATAACCGCTCTGAGATACCAACTCCAGAAGCTGCCCAACACCACGCCCATCTACGACAGATCGCTAACTTGATCCCGCCATTAGACCCAAATGCCGACATACTACTACTGCTGGGAAGAGACATGCTTCGAGTCCACAAAGTCCGGGAGCAAATAAACGGCCCAGACGACGCCCCATTTGCTCAGAGACTCGACATGGGTTGGGTCGTGGTAGGTGACGTCTGTCTCGATGGAGTGCACAGACCCCCACACGTGAACAGCTATAAGACTTTCATACTGGAGAATGGCCGTGCAAGCCATTTTCAGCCATGCAACAGTCAAATAACTGTTAAAGAGACATTCACCAAAGCTCCTGAGCGCAGTCACAGCCCCTCAAGCCTTCCTGTGTCAGGATGTAATGTGGACAGCATTGGTCAGCAGGTTTTCACACGAACAGCGGATGATCACAGACTTGCACCATCAGTTGAGGATATGCAGTTTCTCCAAATAATGGACTCAGAGTTCTATCAGGGCAGTGACAATAATAGCTGGGTTGGTCCTCTGCCTTTTCGATCGCCACGACAACGGCTCCCGAACAACAGACAACTGGCTTACGATCGCCTTATGTCACTCCGGTGCACTCTTGAAAAACGACCTGAAATGAAAACACACTTTCTGGAGTTTATGGAGAACATGCTTACCAGAGGATATGCTGAAGTGGCACCAGCTCTCAGTCAGAACCAGGAATGCTGGTACCTCCCTTTGTTTGGAGTTTACCATCCAAAGAAACCTGCCAAAATTAGGGTCGTGTTCGACTCAAGCGCCCCATATGAAGGAGTCTCTCTCAATGACGTGTTGCTAACAGCAGTGTTGGGGAGTAACGGAATACATGTACCGCCGTTACGTATTTAAAATACAAAATATGAGTAACTGTATTCCGTTACAGTTACCGTTTAAAAAGGTGGTATTCAGAATACAGTTACTTTGTTGAAATAAATGGATTACACTGCGGTACTTTCCTGTTTCATATTGTCGCGGGTCAGGACTGTTTGGGTTTTGTTTGACAGCTACGTTCTGTTGTTCCAGGCGGCAGCGTTACGGTTGCCATGGTTACAGGGCGACGCCGCTCTCTCTCTCTCTGCGACTGTGTGTTTCCTGGGTGAGAGAGCGCCTTTTCGTTGTTGTTGTTGTTGTGCTAAGCTAACAGGCAGAATGCTACAAGCATAGCTCTAAAGAATGTAGCATCATGGGCAGTGTAGTCCGTGTTGCAGGGAGAATGGACTGCCATACACGTTATGTGTCTGTGAGCGCGAGGAGGGAGAAAAAGGGGAGTGGAAAGGTACGAGTTGTCATCGAGGAAAAACGGGAGCTGGAAGCATGTAAATATAATAATAACCACTGCAGCCAAGAAGAGTGCCTGACGAGCCCAGTTGTAAGTAAGCTATTAAGACTCGACTGTACACTGTGTTCGTGTTTTCCTCCGAAAACAATAAGTTCCGTTGGAGCAGCCTTTCAACGCCTCTCTCTGTCTCTCGCAAAAAAAGTTGACCCACACAACAAAGTAAAGCTATTTTTCGGCTACGAGCCGACAGGGACCCCGCCGTATTAGTCAGAGGTCCCTTTACTACAGTTCGGAGTCGCGGACCTTCAGTAATAGTAATAAATCACACAGCAATAGTACATTCACGTTGTTGTAAAAAGCATGATAATATATTAAGTAATCCAAAGTATTCAGAATATGTTACTGTCATTGAGTAACGTAACGGAATACGTTACAAAATACATTTTGGGGCATGTATTCTGTAATCTGTAATGGAATACATTTTAAAAGTAACCTTCCCAACACTGGCTAACAGGCCCCGACCTCAACAACAGTCTTGTTGGGGTGCTCATAACAGAGGTGTGGACTCGAGTCACATGACTTGGACTCGAGTCAGACTCGAGTCATTAATTTTATGACTTTAGACTTGACTTGAAAAAATGTTCTAAGACTTGTGACTTGACTTGGACTTTTACACCAATGACTTGGGACTTGAATTGGACTTGAACCGGTTTACTTGAAAAGACTTGATATTTTACCCCAAATATAAAATTTAACATGCATATTATATAGAGATTGAAAATGTGACGTCATTCACGGGTAGAACCGCAAAGGATTCTGGGAACTCGTGGCAAGCGGTACTAGCGCACGCAGGCTTTCAATTAAAATCAGTTATACAGCGATAAAAAGAAACACAAAAATGTCAAGAAGCCGTTGTATTATTAACTGCAATAGCCGGTCGCATGACAGCCACGGGAAGCCGACGGGTAAAGAGATCGGTTGTTATCGGATTACGTCGTTGAAGAGAAATTGTTCGAGCCATGTTTCCGAAGTAACAAAGAGGCGACTGGATTGCAGCCATTCAAAGACCAAATATAACGTCCCAGAACACTCCAGCTCACAGGTTAGTCTGCTCCAAGCATTTACACGAAGGTCAGTGTTTTTTAGTAGTTAATACGTCATTTTCATAACATAATTAGTGATATAGGTTACAAGCAAGTCTGGCGCTGAACAGAAATTGTCGCGCTATGCTCCTTTGTTTATTGTGCATAAATAGTGAATTGTCCTGACACAATATTGTGTTTCGCTTCTGTTATTATGGTACATTGACAAAAACATATACTTTTATTCACAGGATAAAACAGGTTTTTTGTATCACTAATTGCCCAGTACGATTACAGCATACAGTATTATTGTCACTGCTACATTTCTGTAATGAACCAGAAATTATTTCCACTACTAATTAATTACCGTTGAGCTCAAAGGTCCTATTAATAAACGGTTAACGAATGTGTATTTATGACGACGATTTGTGAGACTGGTAAACTTATGATACGTACGATGGTCTTTACTTTCTACACGGTGCATTTCAAGGTCCTGCACCCATCCGTCGGTAAACTGTACCTGGGCTTGTTGCAGTGACCGGAAGTTACTAAACTTCATGAGTGTATGCACTCACTCCAAGAAGCGTA